TTACTCCGAATAAAACCATCCTCAAGCAAAAAGGTTGTTAATTTCTCATTCCACTTACTACAAATGTCAAGCAGACACCATAATCTAACAAGTTGAAGCCAACCCTTAGATTCCTATTGTAGTTTTACAAAACGAGGTTCAAAAGAAATTTGGATTACCAACATCGCTAATGAAGGTATTTAGAGCTAAAACAAGAACATAGAAATTTATTTATGTAGATTATGAAAGCCAATACATATTTTTTAGGGACTATGTCTTAGAGTTACAAGCAGAAACCCATGTACTTTTTGAAGATCAATGTGTATTCTAAACCAAATGTAGCATTACAAAAAAAGACTTTCAAACTTATATACATTTGTTTGAGCGATTGAAAGTAGGGTTTAAGGTTGGTTTGATAGAGTTCTTGAGATTGGATCGGATCTTTATGAAAGGTCCTTTTTCCTGGTTAGATCTTGACTGTGGTTGGGTTGGAAAGTAATAATAGAATATACTCACTTGCATATGCATAGGTTAAGGCCGAAAACATTTGTGGAGGTGTACATTTACAACTATTATGTGTTAGCTGTTTTAATTATTAATTTAATTTATGTAATTATTAAATAGACTAACTAGTTTGTTCATCTTGTTTTTAGAGAATTATATATGTAATGGCTAAGGTATTTTCCATTTCAAAACACAAAATTTGTTTAAGACAACCACAAAAACATAAAACTGCAATGGAAAGAGAAGGAGCTTAAGGTACATTTGTGGAGGTGTACATTTACAACTAACAAAAATATGTTTGAGAAATCAATGGATGATTTAAAAAAGTTCAATGTTAGGGATGATGATTGGTTGTGGCAAACTCCACCACAACATTAGGCAAGATCCCACTTTTTTGGTAATGTTATTAGTGATGGAGATTATTGTCAGTGACCATAACAAATCCCACTAATATTACTATAAATAACAGTATCTTTTTGGGTTACGTGCAAGAACAAAATAAAGCATAACTGAAAATATATTTATTTAAGGGACTTATTTTTAGGGGTGACAACGGGCTGACATGTTTAATTAAATGGGTTGATAATTTCTATCCAACACAACCTATTTAAGTAAATGAGTTAAGAATTCTCAACCCAACCCAACCTTCTTTTGTAAATGGGTTGAAATCGGGTTGACATGTTTATTGTTTTTCCAACGCAATCTATTTACTAAACAAGTTAAACTAGGTTGACCCGTTTATTCACAAAAAAAACCCTTAAAAATCAAAAAAATTCATCAAATAAAATTCCATACAATTTAAAAGCTATAATAAGTTTTCATGTTTGAAAATTATACAACAATAACTTTATAGGACCATAACACAAACACAAATAAGTGTTAATAACCATAAAACATTATAAATGTTTAATTTGTAAATTATACACAACTCGACTATCATTTTTACCAACTCGAATTTAAATAACAGTTACTGACCCATAATATAAATAAAAAATAATCAGATATAATGTTCAACTAATAATAATATTAAATTATTATAAATTAATAAATATTAAAATTTTTTTTAAACTGGTTGGCGGGTTGTAAACAGGTTAGGAATTTCAACCTTAACCCATCCTATTTAATTAAATGGGTTAGACGGGTTGACCAATTTAATTAAATGAGTTCAAAATCCCAACCCAACATGTTATTTATTGGGTTAGGTTCGGGTTGGGTTGGTGGGTTCTGGTTAGGATTGTCATCCCTACTTATTTTGTTAATTAATTAATAGTAAATAAATGAATGTGGAATATTCCAGAATGATTTAAAATCATTAGATAATTATAATTATATCTGATAATTATCTCTAGGGTTTCAAATTACCTCCCTATACATAGAGGACTCCAAATTCGGATTTTGTGTATGTGAATACACTTTTCGGCCATAAAATCCCAGAACCCTCATAAACCTTGAATCACATGAAACCTAGTTCCCATGACGTTGATGTTGAACTGCCACGACGTGGCGATACACATATTTGTTTTTCATGAATCTGCTTTGGGTCGAAATTTAAAGGTGGTTCGGATTTGCTAGTGGTTTGCTTATTGGGTGCGATTTCAGAAGATGACTCTAGGTTGGGTTCTCTAGTCCCTTTCAACTGGCTTGTCAAAAGAATAAACCTATAAAGAAATCAAAGGTATGTTTTCTACTTGGTGTTTCCTATCAAAGTGAAAGGTCTAGTATGCTCAAGAGTCATATTAAAGTGATATTACTAAATAACATATGATACCAATGGGTCACACTAACAACAACTTAATACAATTGATTATTTATTAGAAATTGATTTTAATAAATATTCAACAAGACTCTTATAATTAAATTGAAAATTATTTATTTCGTGGAAATAATAAATTCCATTAGCAAGTAACTTAATATATATATATATATATATATATATATATATATATATATATATATATATATATATATATATATATATATCATATGGTATGATTTATAAGTTATGTATAAACTTTTGGATTAGTTGAATCCTTTTGTCTTTTTCCTGAAAAACAGTGTTTATATTTTATAAAAGAGTTTATAAAATTTTGACTTTCTTTCATCTTCTTTCGAGATATGCATAAAAGGAAGAAGTGTATGACTTGTCTAATCATGCTTTAAAGGCATGAGAGACATGCTTATGACAATGGGGACAAGTTTGCTTAAAGTGTTAAGGACTAATTGTTAATAACTTTAGTTTATGCATATAAATAAGAGAACTTGCACTTGGATTATTTTCTCATTCATTCCTTGATGCAAAATCCGAATCCTCTCTTCCCTCTCCATTTCTCTCTAGTTTTGGTTAGAAAAATTGAAGAACACTTGCAACTTCAATCCCTCTTTAAGTTCATATTGGTTATGAACTTAAAGCTTAAGGGCTTAAGAGTTATGGACTAGCATCTACATCAAGTTGAGTCATTGTTGGTGTCTCAAAGGTTCTACATTCTTCATTAACTTCCAAACCTCCCGAGAGGACCCAAAGAACTACAAATGTCGTTATTTCTTCACTTCTTCTTTGGTTGGCGTTTTAATCTTTCAATAACTTGCAAGAAGATCCTTGGTGGGTATAAAATGTTTATGTTACTTCAAAATTAAAGTCTTCTGTTGCCATATTTTTCTAGTTTAAGAAACTATTTTTGAACTAAAACCCAACAATTTGTATTAGGAAGCGAGAATGATGGAAATGGGTAATTAGGTTATTTGTTTGATATGAAACATCTATTTATAACAAATTAATTATAATATTATGTGTTGAAAATCCTATGTGCTCACCAGACTCCCAAACCTGACCCACTCAGTTTTTTTGTATCACATACAGCGCTATGAATGTATATGATGTTTAGATCTAATGAGAGATTCGAGGAAATATAGGTCATTAGATGTTGTAAGGCTTGTAATGGTTACATTTATGTTTATGTTTATTGTATTATGTATGACATCTAATAATTAAGGAAAAATAACATTTATTCAGAAATACTTTTTATGGAGCATATACCGCAGTTATAAATAAACTCTATTTTAAAATAAGCATAATTAAAAAAAAGTCTTTTTCTAACCATGAAAATAGGTATGTCACACTATCAAACACCAACAAGGACAATATTTTAAACCTAACATTTTGACCATTAGAGTTTCACCGTTACATCACCAAAACATTATATACTATCCATAGTGAAATCCCTATCCAAAACAAGATTCCTATATACAATATTCTTTCATACACACTTCTCCAACTTTGACTAACATAAAAAAAGAAAAAAATCCAACTGACTACTAGAATAACATTCAACATCATTGCTTCTTATGTTTTTTGTTTTTGTTTGAGAGACTATTCAAGCAAACTTTTTAAGTGTAATAGATCTAGATTCACAGCAACTGCCCTTCGACATATAGTTTGGTCAAACAAACCAATTAAATTACACATTATCCTCCTATTATCTATGATATAAATTAAATAAAAAACTATTTATGTGATTTTTGCCTCTATTTTACTTTTTTTTGCCTATATGAATTTTTTTGTGTCCCATCTTTTTACCACTTATGTTTGTTTTCTTGGAGAAAATGACAAAAGTCCTTAAATTATTTAAAATCCATTGTTGATTAGGTTTGGAGTCGGGTTGGGCATTGGCTTCACCTGAATCTTTTCCTTTTTTTTTTTTTTTTTTTTTTTTTTTTTTTTTTTTTTTTTTTTTTCTATTCGTGACGTGGTGGATTGAGTGGATTCTAGACCGACGACTCAAATAGAGCGCTCGATTGTTGAGTTGGTGTTCATGGTGGTTATATGGGTGCTTTGGACTTTTTGTAACTCTTTAGTTTTTAGTAACAATAAACCTAGAAAAGATAAACTTTTTGATTCCATTGGGGATTTTTCTTTTCGTTGCTTTTCTTTTTGGAACACTAAGGTTAGGATTAATTAGACGACAAAGTCCAATCCGGCTTTAATTTTTATTTTTCTCTAGCTCCTTGCTAGAGGTTTGGTTTTTTAATACGATGCTCTTGACCTAAAAAAAAACTAATTTCAGGAAAAGCAAGTTGACAAATAGGATTGAAGAAGCTCATATTATGAGAGCCAAATTTTTGGAGAATATTTTGATTATGAGAAATACGTTTATATTATTCATTTGGGAGGGTAAAATAATAAACTTATAAACGTAATGATTTAAAAAAATTATTTAATATTAAAAAAAGATTCGGGCAAAAAAAATATTTTAAAAACTTATTAAGAATAAATATAACATTTAAAAATTAAATGGGATGAATATTTTGATTAAATAAGGAATAATACCAAATTCACCCTAATAAAAAAGCAAAAGACTTAAGTATACCATTTTTGCAGCCTCTTTGAAATTTATTTCCATTTTCAACCCACAACATACCAAATTCTCTTTTTGTATTTTATCCCCTTTAATAGAAATCCCGCGTGTGGCACGTACCACGTTATAGCTGTGTAGCAGGACTACAGGGGTACTATTTCCCACCACTTCCATCCATCTTCTTCTATACCGAAAATTTCGAACTCTCAATCCCTTCATTTCTAGGGTTTCTGCATGGCATCTTCCGAAGAAGAAGGCGAAATCATCCCCGTTTGTGTCACAAACTACCTACTTGTGAACGATCGTAACGCGCCGACTTCATTTTCACAGTTACCGCTTCATTGGAGTGATCAGGAGAACCTAATCGACAAGAACAGAAACTCATCGGTTGTGTATTTGCGCGGAACTACTGACGGAGGGCTTCAACCGGTCTACAAGGAGGTGATCGCTTGGAAGTTGGAACTTTCTCATATAGTGCCGCCTAAAATATACGTGCTTTCGAAGGGGAAAACATGGATACAGCTTCAGGAACCGAAGAATATGTACAAAGATGTCATTAAGACTTTTTTGATCGTGGTTCGGTGTCTCCATTTTGCGAAGAGGAATGCAGGTGCAAGTAGAGATCAGATTTCGAGTCATTTGGTGAAAACCTTGAGGTCTATGTGTTTCTGTAATGTTTCAGTGATTCGGTATGATTTATTTGTTTACTGGTGTTTGCTGATTTACCCTGTTTGTTTGTGCAGATCGGATGATGTGATTGAACCTGTAGAGAAGTATCTCTCTGCTCACTTGCCGTTAATACAGAGTGCAGTGGCTAAAGACAAGGATTTGGCAAAATCAAAGGTTCGATCTTCACTGAGTAATCTTGATAGGCTATATTAGCCACTAGGTTTAGAGCGGATCATTTGTATGTTTCCTATTTTGTTCTACAATTAGTGCCCAGTGAATCCGATATAATGGCTTATATTCTACCCGATTTATGCCATTATATTTATTGCTAAGTTTTGATAAATAGTTTACTATTAACACATGTATTGACACCTGATTTCTTGACAGTATCTTAAAACGTTTCTTATGGAGATTGAGAATCCTGGGAGAAGAGAATACCTTCATGAGGTGAATACCATTATTTCTGAATTCTGAATGTTTTTCTCATGTCAATATTGAACCTACTCACCTACTCCATTCTTATGCATTGTTAATTTCCCTTTTTGAAGGAAGTTTTCTTAATCTTGATCTTTTTCTTTTGAATTAAAGGAGAATCAAACAAAAACCAAGTCCAAGTTCATAGTTTCTGATGATGAAGAGTTAGAGGATAATGATGATGAATCCGATGATGAAGATGAAGTACTATTTGATTCTGTTTGTGCATACTGCGACAATGGTGGTGATGTTCTCCCGTATGCATATAATCCCTTCATAGACTTAATCTAGACATGACATAGAACACTAATATCCATGGTGTAGGGTTAGGGTTAATAAATTCATAAAGATCCCCAATTGCCCATGATTCAGTATTTGTGAATGTCCTTTTGTAGACTAGGTCATTAACATTTACTTCATACAATTTTCCACTTATGTCAGTTGTGAAGGTCAATGTATGCGATCTTTCCATCCAACCATAGATACAGGAGTAGAGACTTCTTGTGAGTCTCTTGGCTTTGCAAATGCAGCTGAATATGAGGTACAAACATTTACATATCTGTATTCTAATTATCTTTCCATTTCTATCATCTGGTTTAACCACAATCATAACTCATCTCAAATTCTATATACAGGCAATTCCAACTTTTCTTTGTGGCAACTGTAAACACAAGAAGCATCAATGCTTTGTTTGTGGAAATTTGGGTTCTTCTGATAAGTCTTCTTCTACTGTTGAGGTTCTTGTCTAAATCTTGGATTTTGTTTCCACATTTTTACATGAAAAGTTCATATTATCTACCAATCTTTTAGGTGTTCCCTTGTGTTTCTGCAACTTGTGGCCACTTTTATCATCCTGAATGTGTTGCAAAGTTGATCCATCCATCTGATGAAACCCTAGCCAATCAACTTCAGAGTCAAATAGCTGCAGGAGAATCATTCACTTGCCCTGTTCATAAATGTCGTGTTTGTAAGCAAGGAGAAAATAAAGACATTCATGACTTACAATTTGCAGTTTGTAGACGTTGCCCAAAGGCATATCATAGAAAATGCTTACCTAGGTAGTACTATAACAATCTCTTCCATAATCAAGATTGCAATTTTAAAGAAATTAGTTTTAGAAAAAACAATTATGACCAATATCTTAGTCACCAATCATCTATTTGACCAATTAACTACATCTAAATTACTAAATTTGTCTAAAAAGATTAACTATTTGACTGATTTTGATAATATTTTTAAGGGCAATTGGTTTCAAGGCTAGTGATGATGGAACAATCAAACAAAGGGCATGGGATGATCTGTTGCCAAAACGCATCTTGATGTATTGCACGTAAGTGTTCATGCATAATTTATTATAAAAACATATGGTGTGATTCATCTATTATTATTATATATATCCAGGAAGCATGCTATTATTCCAGATCTTTGGACACCAAAAAGGGATCATCTTTTATTTCCTCGTGTCATAAGAAAAAGAAATCAAGAAGGAAGTAGAGTGGTGATGACATCTGTAAAGAGCAAAGCTTTTGGAAACCTCTCAAAGAGTGACACTGACACTTCAAACATGCCAAAAGTTGTTGAAAAGCTGGATAAAAATAACACCTTCACTTATGGTGATAAAAATAAAATATTGGAGAAAGGTAAGTCTTCCACCATGGAAGAAAAGAGATCTTGTGTTGTGAACAGTCATTCTGCCATTGGTCAAAGCAAGTCAACACAAAAAGATATGCAAAGAGAACAAGTTTTTGCTTCTAAGCCAATGAAGAAGATAATAGTGGATACACCTCCTGTAGTAGATAATGATATGAAAACAAGGTATTTATTTCTTATTCATGTTGGAATTTCAGTATGTACAACTTATGATATCATAATACTTACAGGATTTTGAAAATAATCAAAGACTCAACATCTTCATTTGATGTTGAAGAATTTGTAACGGAGAAGAAAAGGAAATGCACTCATCAAATATACACCCCACAAACAGGGTTAGATAAGACCATTACCATGGGAAAAGTGGAAGCTTCTGTAAAGGTGCTACACTAATTATTCTACATTGAAAAACCTTAAATAAATATGTTTAAACTCACAATTTTTTTATTTATTATTATTTTTTAGGCAGTGCGAACAGCCTTAAAGAAATTGGAGGATGGGGGTAGTGTTGAGGATGCAAAAGCTGTTTGTGAACCAAATGTTTTAAATCAGCTCACAAAATGGAAGGTATGTTGAAAGATTATCTTTATGTTTTATATATTGCATCCTTTTGTGATCTTATATTTTTAATATTAATATTTCCACTCAATATATAATTTAGAAACAAAGGATTTTGTTGTGATGCATATGCAGGAAAAGTTGCATGTTTTTCTTGCTCCTTTTCTCATTGGAGCACGTTACACCTCTTTTGGACGCCATTTTACAAAAGTTGACAAACTTAAGGAGGTACTAATACTATCTCTTCCTGTCCCTTGACTTTCCTTTATTTACAAATTATCCCCCTGGAGTTAGTTTTATCTTTTTTTGTCATTTTTTAATATTCAGATAGTTGAGAGACTCCATTGGTATGTAGACGATGGTGATACAGTAAGTGACTTTTTCCTTTTTTCTTTTTTCTTTTTTAACTTTTTATCTCATAATTATTTTACTAAGTTGTAACAATTGGATTTGTAATTTTTGTTATCAGATAGTGGACTTTTGCTGTGGTTCAAATGATTTCAGTTGCTTCATGAAAGAAAAACTCGATAGCATGGGAAAGACTAGTTGTTCATACAAGAACTATGACCTCATCACACCAAAGGTAGTATTTTAAGTTTTAACTTCTCTTATTTCCTATTTTTTGTACTAAATAATAAGCTAATCTTGATATTTTAATATTTTAATATTTTAATCAGAACACATTCAATTTTGAAAAGAGAGATTGGTTTAGTGTCCCTGTTGAAGATCTACCTGACGGGTCTCGTTTGGTATGTTTTTTATGTTTTATCTTAAAAAAGAATAGATTAAAACTTTGTTTCTAAAATAGTTAATAATAATATCTGAAAAGGTAATGGGATTAAATCCTCCATTTGGAGTCCAAGCTTCTCTTGCTAACAAATTTATCAACCATGCTCTCAAGTTCAAACCAAAGCTTCTCATCCTTATTGTTCCAAAAGAAACCAAAAGGTAAACCATAAAATGTAAATTTATGATTTAATTTCGACTCTAATTTGTATTGTGCTATAAACACTACAACAGGCTTGACAAAAAATGGCATCCGTATGATTTAATCTGGGAGGAAGAGCATATGCTTTCTGGCAAGGTTATATTATTAACTCTAGTTAGATTAATGTCAAATGCAAATTACATAAAATATAGTGGTTTTTACGTAACTACACATGTCTAATTTACTTTTTTTACAGTCGTTTTACCTACCGGGATCAGTAAGTGTTCAAGAGCAGCCATTAGATGACTGGAACGTGGTCTCACCACCACTCTCTCTCTGGAGTCAACCCGAATGGACTTCCAAACACAAATCAATAGCCGAAAAACAAAACCACATTAACCAAACCCAACCCAACTTAAACCACAGAAAACACAAAAAACACAAACAAGAACAAAGAGTCTCGAATTACCTAATGGAAGAAACCCAAGACTGTTACAATGATTTCTCGAATATCATCATGACAAACTATCCGGACATCTCCAACATCTTGGATGATGTTCCGGAAGCTTCCGGAAACATAGCATCGGATACTTCTGGAACCGGAACTCATTATGATGACCTCTCTGACATGGATCTTGGAAGTCCGTTAGTTTCCCCACAGTTTTATACAGATACAACTACGAGTCTTCCTGTTTATGAATCGGTTACTGGGTTTCAGAATCATGCTTTTTCAACCTACCATGATTTTGCTAACTATGGTGTTGGTCACCCTATGTACCCAACCATGCCTCCTCCTACTTTTACTTATCAAACCGATACCAACATTTGGCCAACCAGGTACGTTGCCTCCTGATTTTAGAAATTAGAGTATGTTGTATAGAAAACGTTAACTTACTATTAGATTATGGATTCGGGTTTACTTGATTGTGGTCCATATTGGTTTCACGCTATTTTAGTGCACAAAAAAGTTTTTATTTTTCTAGTGGTAACCGTTAAAGTAATTTCATGACATCCAAGGAAATACACAAAAACCATTTTGCCAAGTGTATGGTTGTTTCCTGATGATTTCAGATAAGATAATAATTTTGTAATATAATGTCTCTAAATTTTGATAATTTGTCATTAAACCTACAAATCACATATGCATGGTGTAAATGGGAGGTAAATCTTTCAAGTCTTTGCTTTCTTTATCATGAGGGTAGATGGACGCTTTTGTAGATGATCTCTAATGTATGAAACGAAACAACGAATATATGAATATGCAATGGGAATTAAGATGATAAGGGTTTGCTGATGTAAGCAAAAATATATGCATAAACGTGGCAATGCAATATAAAGGCCGATTCAAGCAATGTAGAACAAAAACCACTAAAAACAATAAAATTGGGCGCAAAAGGAATGGAACTTGGGGGAAAATAGGGAAGGAAGAAGCAAATCAAGATTATATAAATGATACTTTTAATAGATATATGAACAAGGGCTTAGCCTATCCTACTACCATGATTAAACCCTCACATCATCTTATATGAGGTCTTGCGGCTTTGTTAAGGTTTAAGTCGGCCATTTTTAATGTCATTGTGTCTTCCCAATTTCTTCTAGGCACACTCTCCTTCTCGTACTACCATTCCACCCACTTTAGTTAGTTCCTCAATGGCCACTTTTGGACATTCTAGACCTGACTAGACCTGGCAATCCGTGTCTGCGTGTCGTGTATTCGTGTCAGACACGAATTTACACGACACGAACACGACACGAATATACACGTTTTTTAGCCGTGTTACACGAAAAGACGAAAAAACACGAATAGACGCGTTTTAATGGCTTTTTAAGCTATGGCTATAAACTAGTTATTGACTTTTACAAAATTGGTCCATAATATATTATAAATACAAAATTTAACCCTAAAGTATATATGTGTATATATGTGTTTGTACGTGTCACGTGTCAACACGAATTTGTATCGTGTCTTATACGTGTCTAAACAGGTAAATTCGTGTTTGACACGTGTAAGACATGAAACACGAATTTAAAATACGTGTCAGACACGAATAAACACGAAACACGAATTTATAAAACACATACACGAAAAACCCGTATCGTGTTCGTGTCGTGTTAATCGTGTCGTGTATGAAATTGCCAGGTTTAGACCTGACAATTCATGTATCCGTGTATTGCTCTTTGATACTTGTTTCTACTCCAAGTACTTGAAACTCTCATTTGTGCGTAAGTCTTGCTCTCTGATACTTGTTTCTACTCCATCATTGTGTTCCATATTGAATTTGAATTTGCACCAAAGAAATTCCATCGTATTCATGTTGATATATAACACCTTTTCTTCCAACATTATCCTCTGTGTGACCGTGTGTCCAATTAGCATTTAACTCAAACCTAGTCTTAGATACAAGGACAATGTCATTAACAAAAACATACACCTCGACAACCCCTTTGAATCTCGTCAAATATCTCGTCTAAGATCAAGGAAAGAAATAAGTGCTAACGGCCGAACCATGATGTGACTCGATCTCTAATGCAAACTAATTTGTGTCTCCGATCAAGGGCGGAGGCAAATTTTTTTTTTTAGGGTGTTCCTTCTAAAAAATATATATATATATATATATATATATATATATATATATATATATATATATATATATATATATATGGTATTTTGAAGACTCTATGTAAAAAGTGAAAATTGCCCCCTAAATATAATTTTTTTTATATACAAGAAAAAAAAATTGAAAAAGAACAACTAAAAACTAAATTAAATTAGCTAAAAATTGAATTGTGCAAAAATTATAAAATTTAAGGTGTAAAATATGCAAAATTTGAAAACTAAATTACTAAAAGAATTTAACTTCTAAATATGAGAGGGCCAACATGTAACTTTAGAAATGAATTTCTAAAAAAAAAACGTGATGAAATGGAATTTGCAATAGTTTGGGAAAGAGGTAAGACAACTCGTCAATTGAAGTACACATAATTTTTGAAATAACTTACAAAAAAAAAAAAAAAAAATGAAAATTGAGGGGGGCCTAGGGTGGCTCCGTCCCTGTCTCCAATAGGTGTCTAAGACACATGTGGATGGAGACACTACATATCACAATCACAAATGACCTTGAGATTTCTCTTTATTTCTCTTTAGGCCTTTTTTTGCTTCCAAGCTCCTTCAAATCGCCTCTAGATGTATTATATCTCTATATTTCTCCATGAGGCGTTTGAGGAGGTGGGTTGTTTTAGTAGTCAATCGTCCTGTCATGAAGCCAAATTAGAACTCGGATGTGATGCATGCATTGCAACAGCCAACATGGACTCTAACATTCTCTCCAAAAGTTTCATGGTACGATTAAGAATCTTATTCTTGTATACTAGTATGACAATATTAGCTTTCTATTCCTCAGACATCATTGAAATCTCTAATATAATGCTAAAAAGATATGTTAACAACGCAACTTCCTCCCCCAAGGAACAACCACACACTAATAGGAATATGATCCATGTTAAATGCTTCTTCCTCCCCATCCTCCTCAAATCCATTCTTTCACTTTTGCAGTACTAATCTTCATGCATGGAGCATCATCACAATACACGTGCCCCTAAAGCCTTGCATGTTGTCATCCATCATGAGCAACTTAGAGTCATTAAATAAAGAATGGAAATAGCTACCATATTTCCTCTTAATATTTGTATATTTTATTAGAACATGGCCGATGCCATCCTTAATATATACTAGCAACTCCTATGCCCCTTGGACTTATCTTCGGATTTAAGCATGGGGAAAGAAAGAAGTGTGGGATTATGAAAAGTTAAATGGAATAGAGGTACACATCATAGAAGAACAATATATTTCTTTGGATTTAACTTTTAAGTGAAGAGAAAGACGAAACAAGCCCTAAATCTCGTAGTTAAAGGTGAAGGAGTGAGTAAAACTAAATTAAATGTTTATGGAAGTGAACTTTGATTATAGGGCATATGATAATGACAAGTGAAGGAATCACACAAAGAATACTAAATTTTATTTGAAAACACGTTCTAGTTCTTTTGTATGTAATTATTAGAAGTTAATTGTGATTGATTTCCTATGGATTTGTATATAGTTATAACCCCATGTAACATGTTTTATTTTTTATATGATTTTTTATTTTGATATAACCTACAAATAAGATTTCTGAAAAATCTTTATCATAATGAAGATACTTTGAGGTTTGTGCGTTTGTTAATTTGGTGTTTGTGGCAAAGAGAAATCTTAGATCATCCACAATATAAGTTCTAAGAGTGTATTGGGTTACATAAGCTTTTGAAAGTCGAACAAATCTATTGTGAGAACTAACATAATGTAAAGCTTTTCCAAATAGTTTATAAAGATTCTTATAGTGTTATACAATTTGCCATTATTGCTTATTGGAGAGTTTTTCTGGACAAATAAGATTGTAAAGTCCAAAGAAAGTTATAGGGAGATTTATTTATTTATTTTTCACTTAAAAGCCTTTTTAGATTGTTTCTAAATTTACAAACTTTATTCATAGGATTCTTTTTACAAGATTCATTGTGTGCTTTTTAGTTTAATAGAACCTACAAATAAGATTTGTGAAAAATCTTTCTCATAATAAAGATAATTTGAGGTTTTTGTTTGTTGATTTGGTTTTTATGTGGCAAATAAAAAGGTTAGGTTTTCTTTAACAGTTTATTGGGGCACATAAGTTTTTGAAAGTAAGAAAATCAACCGTGAGAATTTATTTAAGCCAAAATTGCAAAAATGGTCCCTGTGGTATGAATTTTTTTGGGGTTTTAGTCCAAACCCCGAGTTTTTTGGATTCATGGTCCTTTTAGAGTGGTTTGTATGTGGAAATGGTCCCTAGATTTAACTTGCGTTAAGTTGTTGCTGTTAACCCCCTCATGTGCCTCCCATATGAGGGTATATTTGTCTTTTCACTTCTAAGGGACCATTTTTGCAATTGAAAAAAAAAATCCCCATTTAAAAAAAATTAATACATATTTATTTATTTTAATAATTAAAAAATAAAAGATCTCTCTCTCTCTCTCTCTCTCTCTCTCTCTCTCTTGCAAACCCCAATCCTCAAAAACTCAAATTCCATTTTTAATCAAATGGATTATCATCAGTCAATCAAGACTCAACAAAAGTCTGCCTACCAATCTGATCCATTAACCTCTGGTTTCACAGTCTTAGCCATTGCAGCACTCGGCATCGTAGCAACAACTTTCTTGCTCGTTTCCTACTACTTTTTCGTCACCAAAGGTTGCTTCAACTGGCAACAAGTGAACCCATTAAGACACTTTTCCATGTCCCGGGAACGATCCACACCGACCCATTATCATCTCCATACTCGACTCCTCCATGAAGCATCAAAATAGCAATAAATGTCGTATTACCCCCAAATTTTCTTCTAAATCCTTTAAACCCAAAACCGAAATCCATCATACCTACCTTGAAACCCATGAAATTTCAACATCTGGGTCTTCCCATGTCTGTAGTGGATGACTACTCTCGAATGCTTAAGAAGGTTGTACAGTATAAGTATTTGATTCTCTACATAATATATATTTCGTTCTTGTGCTATGTCACAACACAGGTTCGTATCCCATCTCTTTTGACAATTGAGGGTAGGTGTAGGGTTTCAATGTGCTCTGGTACCTGGAAATTTATGGATCATTAGTTATCGCACAATAAGATTGGTCATCAATGTTGATTCATATAGAGAGAACTTACGATTTCACGAAACAGAGGCTTAAGAAACGGTACAAGGGCATAAACATGCCTGATAGAACGTTGTAGTGTTTGGATTATCATCAGTTCCCCCGCCCTCATACACAACAAATCATACCATTCTTATAATAGGGACAGATCTAAATCAAGAAACAAATTTTCATTTCATTGAGAAAACCTTCCAATTTCATCTAACTGTTACGTAAATAATGAGAAAAAAGCCGACGAGTTCAACAATTTTTTCTAGGTATTTTTTTTTGTTCTCGGTGTTTTTTTTTCATCTGGGACTGAATTTATTCCCAGGAAGAAGAATATGGGAATGTGTAGGTTGGAATATTGAGAGAGAGAGAGAGAGAGAGAGAGAGAGAGAGAGAGAGAGAGAGAGAGAGAGAGAGAGAGAGAGAGAGAGAGAGAGAGAGAGAGAGAGAGAGAGAGAGAGAGAGAGAGAGATCTTTTATTTTTTAATTATTAAATAAGTAAATATGTCTTAATTTTTTTTAAATGGGGATTTTTTTTTTCAATTGCAAAAATGGTCCCTTAGAAGTGAAAAGACAAATATGCCCTCATGTGGGAGACATATGAGGGGGTTAACAGCAACAACTTAACGGAAGTTAAATCCATGGACCATTTCCACATACAAACCACTCCAAAAGGACCATGAATCCAAAAAACTCGGGGTTTGGACTAAAACCCCAAAAAATTGCATACCACTGGACATTTTTGCAATTTTGTCATTATTTAATCTAAAGTTTTTCCAACTAGTTTACACTTACAATCGCAACGAGTCTCATAGATTTTTAGTCAATTGTAAATAGTCAATTTATACAAACAACAATAAAAATGAGAAATAAAATTGATGAATGGCATAAATAAGTCGACGATAAAGCTTTCTCATTGTATAGATTCTTTTAGTTTTTTAAATTGATAAGTTATGCTATAATGTCATGAAAAAACTTAACAAATAAGCTCTACTGTTGTAGATGTTCATAGTGAAACATATTTCTTAGAACTTAAGTTCTAATCTTTTATTTTTTTCTTTAAAAATAACGTATGTTATGTGAATCTCGAATTAAATGGATAAATGTCCAAATATTTTAGGGAAATACATAGAAAACCACTATATTTTGGTCATTTTTAGGGTTTAATAATTATATTTTAGTTTTGTTAATGAAAACCAGCTAAGTTTTGATAAAATTTTATTTTCTATCGACCATTTTGACTTATTTTAACAAGTTGAAGTGGTATCATTGATAATCTTATTAAAGTTTATTAACTTTGAATATTTAGTGTCAAAATTTTTGGCTAACACGCCCTTGATAATTATTTTTATTAGGATAACTCTAACCTCAAATACAACGGTTTTCCTTAATGAAATAAAGTGACCAGAAAACGAATACATGAAAATACATCGACTATATATATATATATATATATATATATATATATATATATATATATATATATATATATATGGGAAATCTCCAGAAAAGTCCTAAAATTTTACCCTAATTTACGAAAAAGTCTCAAACTAAATTTTGTTTATGAAAAAGCATGAATTACCGGTGAAAATGGTGATTTGACCAATTTTTTCCGGTTTACCGGTTTTATTACTTACCTGTTTCACTAAAGTCTCATTATTTTAACCTAATTTGCGAATAAGTCACAAAATAAAATTTACTGATGATTTGACCCTTTTCTCTATGTAACATACATTTTACCGGTTTCATTGTTGACCCGGATGCCTAGTCATTAAATGAGATGATGAGATGGATATGTTGAGTTATATAATGCCATGTTTAACATAAAACTTGATATCCTGATGTATTGTATATCTTTTTGGAACTTAAAATGCATCCAACGAAGACTAAAATAATTACATAAACTAACAACAGCTGCGTTATTTTTTTTTACGTTTATAAGAAATATCAAATTGTCTATCTAATCTTATGTAACCCAATTTATCCATCTCTTCAGACATCAACTCATTTTCTGCCCTTTTTTCTTGGAAACACACATTTTATTGGTTTTATTGCTGACGTAGATACATAGTCATAAATGAGCCGATGAGATGGGTATCAAATTTTACAGTAAATGTGACATTATATAACCCATCGTATTCATCTTATCAGCTAATTTAATGACTAGGTGTCTAAGTCAACAATGAAACTGATAAAATGTATGTTACATGAAGAAAATGGCCAAATCATCAGTAAATTTTATTTTGGGACTTATTCGCAAATTAGGGTAAAATAATGGGACTTTCGTGATACATATAAGTAATAAAACCAGTAAACCGGAAAAAAGGGGTTAAATCGTCATTTTTACCGGTAATTCATGCTTTTTCATAAACAAATTTTAGTTTGGGACTTTTTCGTAAATTAGGGTAAAATTTTAGGACTTTTCTAGAGATTTCCCTATATAGATTCCCAATAGTTTAAGAAAGAAACAACAATACATTTTGTTTAGAGAGTTTCCGGAAAAGCCATCTTGCACGACGGAGTCCGCCGTCTCTTCCATTCAAATCTACATGATAACAAACAAAGCATTAAAAACAGTCATAAATTAACAAAAAAAACCTCAAATTCTAACACACTTGCTTAAATACATCATCAAACCATCACTTTCTTCACTCCAAATCCAAACATGTTCCATCTTACATAACCATCATCAATCCACCAGAAACAACCACCATCACCACCCACATCAACAATTCCACCCAATAACCCAACAAGAAGATGACAATGTAAACAAAGGCCCTGAACCCAAACCCTCCCCTTTACCCTTTCCACCATCATCATCTGGACCATCAACCACCAGAGCAACATCTGACACCACCTCCGGAGATGGCGCCCGAATAGGAACATCACTCTCAAAGATTGCCTTTAGTAACAAAACTCTATTCACCTGATAAACCGCCACAAGATCCTTGACATGCACATTATTACTAACCACCGTATTAGTCCACCCTGACCCAATATGAATAGTTCTAGATTCACCTATAAAATTCAACGTGTATGATCCAACAACCATTGTATTAACCGGACCTACACCACTATTGTTCTTGAAATCCGATAGCGAATAGTAACGTGGAAATGCATGGAAAAGACATAGTTGTTTCAGTAGATCAGACGTTAGATTTATGATACGTGAGTAGGGGCTTTAAGGTTTAAAAAAGTTGTGTCTTTGGGTACAAAGAGAGTGACCCCTTCTTTTGTATTATTGGCTTGTGTTTGTAGGGTTTTAATGAGTTTAGTTGACGTGAGATACTTCAAAAAGGTTGAGAATGGATCTGCAATGGTTAAAAGGTCTGTTAGCTTCACGAACTCGGGTGTGGGTGTTGGGGTTGGGGTCGGGATGATTAGGGTTGGGGTCGAAAGGGCAATGATTGATGCACCATAACCTGAATCTAGGTTTGATTCACCATATCCTACTTGGGCATATGCGAACGTACAATATATGAATATGAATTTGCAAGTTGTTAGGAAAATTTTGGTGGTGTTGATCATCCTCATGAATGTGTTCTTCAAATTCGTGCAATTATATTAGCAATCCATGCATGTCAAATTCTTGAATTCTTGAAGAAATCATAGAGGTTTATATATATATATATATATATATATATATATATATATATATATATATATATATATATATATAGAGAGAGAGAGAGAGAGAGAGAACAATGCAAGAAAGAATTAATGATAATTGTAATGAGAATTCAGGAATAATTTTGACAAAAACTGTAGAAAACGGTCCCTGTGGTGTAAGATCCCAGCCAAATAAGGTATTTCCATTCTCGACTAAAGTATTAAATTGTTTCAAAAATGGTCCTTATGTTGGGCGTACTTGGGGTGTACGTTGGGCGTAAATAATTAAAATGGACGCGTGTGCTTTTGAGTATGCAGGGCGTACTCAAGGGGTATGCAAGGCATACTCGACGGATGTGAAAACCCTAAATCCGGGGTTTTGAGCCCTATTTAAACATCTTAACCTCCATAAACCCTTTTCATTCTCATCCTCCACCTCTCCAAACGGATGCCTTGAAACCCTAACCCCATATTTGTTCCTTATTAGCTAAAAGTGTGTTTGTTGGTGCTTTTAAAAGAAGAAGTTGGTAGTGTTGTTTGGAAAGCTTCAAGCATTTTAGATCTGGGATTTGCACCTCTCAAGCATTCTCCAGGAGGTATAAAGTTCTGAACTTGGTGAATGATTTGTTGGATCTTGTTAGTCCTTAGTTTTATGTCCTTTTTGTCCCGTATTCTTGATCTAGTTGAGTATGAGCTATTCCAGATCTCATGAGTAGCATTTCCAGATGTTTTTGTGTGCTTAGAATCATAAAAATGCAATCTTGATTCTTTCCTTTCACCCATGCAAGAGAGATGAAGTCTGGGGTTGTATAATAAGTTAAGGATCTGGTTTTGGGCACCCTCTAGCCATGCAAAGTCATAAAGTTGGAAACTTTATGATTTTGGATGATATTTGGGATTAGATTTGAGTTCTGGACGTCAGGTTTTAAGGGAATAAGTGCATAATGAAGATATTGACCTGGATTGAGTACGCAGGGCGTACCTTAGGAGTACGCAACACGTACATAATAGGAGTCCCGTAATGTGGAAGTCACTCTCTATGCCATGCATAGAGATGGAGTACGTAGGGCGTACTCAACCTGATTTGGGGACTTTGGCTTTTGACTTTGACTTTGACCAAGTTTGACTTTAGGTTATTTTGTGTACACAGACATTGATCCTTTCTTCTGTATTATTGGCTTGTTTTTGTAGGGTTTCAATGAGTTTAATTGACCTGAGATACTTCAAAACGGTTAAGAATAGACCTGCAATGGTTTAGAGGTCGGTTAGGTTCATGAACTCGAGTGTGGGTCCGAGTGAGGGTGTTTGTAACATCCCAAATATTCAGATAAAAATGTGTTTTTAAATCATTCTCAAACATCCAACAATTATGTCAATCAACCATAAATGTATCATAGTGAAAACACCATCAGCGTACAAAATCCCAAAATCACATAATGCGGAAAACATGGGCAGATGCGGTGCGATCAAGCCGGACCCTTCCCTTTCGAGCTGGAAGTACCTGAAACATAAGCTGAAAACCGTAAGGACAAAGCTTAGTGATCTCCCCAAAATACCCCATACCATACATACATAACATTCAAAACATAGCTGGGTCTATTTCACCCCCTTTGGTCTCTTTCAACCGGTACTGGGTCTATTTCACCCCCTTTGGTCTCTTTCAACCAGTACTGGGTCAGTTTCACTCCCTTCGGTCCCTTTCAACCGGTACTGGGTATATTTCACCCCTTTGGTCGCTTTTAACCGGTATCAGGTCTATTTAACACCTACAACTAGCATACAATAATAATAACAAGAGTCACAAAGACAACAAGCATAAATAGTCATAACATGAAATTGTCACGAAGACACTTTCATCCTATAAACATAAATCAGTGGGCCGACATTGTTCCCTTCGACCAACGAGTACAGTGAAGGAAATCACCTCAGTTTGAAGATAAACAAATCATACTCGGGCTGCTGAATCGATAATCCCTACATTATATCACAATAATATAACTCTAATTAGCAGTTAAGTTAGTAACTCGAACTAGGAGTCCAAATCCTTAATCCATATTCTTAAGGGTAAAACACTATTTTACCCTTATCTTATTAGGCTTGACATATTGTAGTCTAAACCCAAACTAGCCCACAAAGTCCAAAAGACACCCAAGAGGCCTAAAGCCCACCATGGCCCAAAAGGTAAAAGATCCACCAATGGCCCAACACTCAAAATCTGAAAAGGGACCTTTAATGAGTATGCTAAGCATACCACCAGTATGCCCGGCGTACTCGATTGCAACGAATGGATCGTGATCCCAGATGCGTACGCTTAGCGTACGCCTTCGTACACCCGACGTACACCCCAGTTGGCCAAAAATGTTCATTAATCACTTAATGCTTTAATCCTAACGTCCAACTTTCAGATCTAGCTCTCTAGGGACGTCCTAAACAATAAAGTTGGAAACTTTACTCCCGTGCATGTCTTAATGGGACTCAAACCCTAGATTTAGCATTCTACTTCCATTAAATGATCACTAATTCATGCATGGTTGATCTACAACCATCAAGATGCAAACTTTATGGACCAAGAGCCTCAAAAACATCCAAAGAAACACTTCATAACATCTGGAGTAGCATTTACTCACAAGAGTTCATCCATGGGACCAAAGTTTGCTAAAATCTTCCTTAAATCCAGATCTAGACATAGGATGAGCAAGGTTAAGAATTTATACCTCCAATAAGTTGGAAATAGTGAATAATACTTGGATCTACAAGCTCCCACTTGTCCAATTCTTCTCTTACAAGCCTTCTTCTTTTTCAATATGCACCACACACACCAAAACAGACACACAATGGTCAATCTCTTGAGAAATAGGTTAGGGTTTCGAGATATAGCTTAAAAGAGGAAATGGAGGTTAATAAGGTGAAGGCTTGGGAGACATAAGTTTCTTAAATATGGTGCAAACCCTAAAAATCAAGGTTTGCCCCTGACGGACGTAAGCCCCGCGTACAACCTGGTACGCCCTGCGTACCAGGGGGCTAAACCCATGCCCTGCATTCTTTGTAGTACGCTCGACGTACCTTATGTATGCCCAACGTACTTGGTCTTAAGCCAAAAGAATAAAAATTGAAGTGAATAGCTATGAATTTAATTTGACGAACCGGACATTACAACTCCCCCCACTTGAATCAGACTTCGTCCTCGAAGTCCGTCTCTGCAAACAACTCCGGCTAATGCTCTCTCTTCTCCTCCTCAGGCTTCCATGTCCATTCTGGCCCCTTTCGGTGCTGCCATTGCACCTTAACCAAATCCACCACCTTGTTTCGAAGAGTCTTTGTCTTCATGTTGAGGATCGCCATTGGTCTCTCTATATAATTCAGGCGATCATTCACCTGAATGTCCTCCGACGGAACCACTGTGGAATCGTTAACCATACATTTTTGCAGCTGAAAGATGTGGAAAATGCTATGGATATGGCGGAGCTCCTCTGGTAGATCTAAGCGATAAGCAACCCTGTCCACCAGGGCCAATATACCTGGGGCCTATCTTACCCCACTTCCTGATTCGGATGATATCTTTCCAGGGTGACACCTTCATGAGTACCATGTCCCCAACCTGGAACTCTAAGTCCGACCGACGTCTATCTGCATAGCTCTTCTATCGGCTATGTGCTGTCTGAAGTCTGCCACGAACCTGCTGAATCAACTCAGTCGTCTGAAGTACCACTTCCGTACTTCCTATAACTTGTTGACTGACCTCAACCCAACATATCGGGGTCCTTCACTTCCTCCCATAGAGCATCTCAAAAGGAGGTCGATTAATGCTGGCATGATAATTTGTTGTTATATGAAACTCCACCAAAGGAAGGTACGTATCCCAACTCCCGCCAAAATCCAGTACACATGAGATACGCAACGTAGAGTCGTTGCCACAAAAGCATACCATCGTTACCACTTTTCCTTGAAATGTGAGAGATCCGTTAGGGGAGACAAGTTTCAAGTAAGGGTTAAATACATACATTCAATTGTAATTTTGGTTCCCATAAATGAAAAGATGAAAATGTCCGCAGATCCGAACTAGTCAATTTAGAGATAATAAACGTTAAAAATGACTTTTTGATAGAAGATTATTTAGGATAAATAATCTTAACCAAAGTTATAGTATATGTGACAAGGATTCCGTACATATAAAGAACGCTGAAATCTGACTTATAACGAAGATGTTGTGACCCGTTGAAGTTTCACGAATAAACCGACACGGCTCTGCGTATCGTAAAAATTAAATTTTCGATAAATAACTTTTTAGCCTTAGTAATCTAAACAAAAGTCGTAGTAGTCATTAAACTGGGAGCGTGCATATAGAGAACATCCAAATCTGAATTCATTTGAGGAAGTTATGATTTTTCTAAGATTCAGCGTAATAGTGTACAACTCGGAAACCGCATTTTAGATCGATCGATT